ATGAGCTTTAAGATCCATCCCAAACCATTCTCTGATTTTATGATTCCATGATTCTAAGACTCAGGAAAGGAAAAATAGGTGTCAACATTGGCAATGGTGTGTCCCACGGTGAGTTTGGACACCTGTAGCTCTGGAGACAGACATGAAGGAGCACAGGGATGATCCAGAGATGATGTTCTTCCAACACAGTCATCTGGGGACATAGTGAGGCAGATCCTGAAGCAATCAGTTGGCTTTCTGCAAGGTCAGGAAAGCCCATGTAAAGTCTGTGAGCACTTCCAGTAAGTCAGAGTCTCACACGTCCCTGCAGATATCCTCAAAAAAGGGTGCAAGTAAAGAGAAGGTCTCAGAGACACTGCTCTGGGCTGTGGAACACCCACAGGTGTGAGCATCCACCTGGTGATGGGTGAACACAGGTTTTGAACAGCTTCTGGAAGCACTGTTCCTTTGGGACAGCTTCTGGAAAGACCCTGGAAGTGTCCAAGGCCAGGTTGGATGGGTTCTGAGCAACCTGGGCTAGTGGAAGGTGTCCCTACCCACAGCAGGGGTGGAACTGGATGAGCTTTAAGATCCTTTCCAACTCAGACCATCCTGTGATTCCATGATTCCCTGAAGGCAGAAAAACCAAGCCCATAAACTCCAACAGAAGAACTCTGTCAGAGAACTGTCCCTGAGCCAAGAACAAACTCAGCACAGGTTGGAAATGACCCCAGGATGTGATGGAATGGGGTAACCACGTGCTGACAGGCTGCTCCTCCTCAGATGGAGTGACCACTAGGATGAAATTAAGGCTTTGCCATATGGGTGGACTCGGGAAGAGTTTTCAGGTTGAAGTTTCCCAGGACAAAGACCCCAAAGGAATGAAGGATTGGGGTGTTAGGGGAGAAAACCTTGCTTTTACCAGCAATCAGCACTGCAGGAAGGCACCCAGGAGGGCTGCAAACCCCGGGCAGCTCTGCAGACCTCCACTAACACACTTCCCACCCTGCTGGGAGGTTCCCATCAGTGAGCCCCCATTCCCACCCCTCTGGTTGCCAAGAGAAACGCCATTTGGAATCCCACAGGTTGTCAAATCCGCAGCTGCTCGGCTTGACTTGCTCTCCTAACATGAAAGACAGAGGCTGGAGGGTGAGATTTCCTGGTGCACAGCAAAGCAGGATGGAAATTTGGGACTAAATGCCAGGGGGATTTGCAATCCAACTTTGAAGTGTACAACAAGGAACCACTGGTGACAATGGTGTGCTGGCTATTTTTAGCTCTGAATCCCTGAGGAACAAGGGCAGCAGCAAAAACACCAAACCCACCAGACTTGCTTTGCAGAGAAATGCTTTTCATCTGGGCCAAAGGCAGGAACTTTGCTGTCCACTTCTCTGCACCAGGTTTTGGGTAGTGGCAGGAAAGAAGGGAACAGAATTGTAGGAATTGGTGCTTCTAAGGACAGCTGGGGAAATAGGGATGAGTGTGTGCAAATCTGTGTACACACACAGTTGTGGCTGAACATTTCAGGGTCCAGATTTGATCAAATTATTTCTCTTAGTTTTCCCTTGAGGATTAATGATTTGGGATCTGTGTGATGAGATGTGCAGCAGTGCTCAGGGAAGACAATGTCAGAGCAGCTCGGAAGTGATAAGAATACTAAGATGGGTTGAGTTGGAAGGGACTTTAAAGCTCATCTTGTTCCAACCCCCTGCCATGGGCAGGGACATCTTCCACT